GCATGTGATGAGCTGTGATAGTTGCTTGTAGAAGGTCTTCGCCCACTGGGTTTCTAAGCAGTGGACTGATATGTTGCACACTTTGTGGAGTACCATCACCAACTTCTCGTTGCTGCTGACCTCACACCTTTTGAAGACCCATTCCCCCCACTGTTCCCACGTATCGTCATCTGAGAAGTTCACAGTTATGCTCTCTTGGTTGTCTAAGCACCCTGTGTCTGTGTCAGCCAGGTCATTCCATATGGCTCTGCATGAAAAGGAAATCAACAGGAGATTCAGAAAGAATATTGTTGAAATATCGGGACTAGAATTATCTGTTGAAAAAAGTCATTCACTCACACAACTCTTTTCAGAGGATTTGGGGTCAAGTCTCCGAGTGACAGCAGACCCCTGTAGGTCACTCGGTTTCCCTCAATCCTGTGAAAGCAAATAGGTACCAGAAACATGTTCTGAACATTTTCAATGGTTTACATGTGAATACATTGGCAAACCATCAAATCTGAAAATATATTTAGCATCTATATCCCATATGTGAACTAAATTGTTGATAGAAAAGCGTTTGATCTATCACCTCCTGTCTTGGTGCTCAATTAACATTCCCTTTTATATTCAGATTCTGGGGCCTGCTTTGTCAGGTCTTTCCGTTTGTCTCATTTTAGGGTGTGCTGCACTTTTCCAAATGACCAAAAGCTCAGTGCAGGGATTCAGAAATGGGGAATTATTTAGTAATTAACAATCTAGTCAACATTAAGCTAAAAATGTTAAAAGGCCACTCAATAGCATTCAATATTTGGAGACCTCAGTGACAAAGCATTAAAAAGCTGTGTATATATTTTGGGTAGCTTAAATTTACAACCATTATACTGAGGCAGAACCAATGCTGTCTATGGGTGGAGCGCAGTTGACCAAACAGTTTAATGGAGTGGTGATAAATAATAGAACTGGATTTTCTACAGGATTTTGTCCTTGTGAGTGTTCAAATGATCCATGATTCAGACAGTCACCATCATCTTGTAAGACTTTCATTTCCCCAAAATATTTTATGTGGCAAATTGCGATACCTCTCACATGAGTTTCTTACCACAATTCTTTAAGCTTTCTTTTCACCCGTGTGGCTGCAGAAAGTACCAGTAGTTCATCATCACCGATATTAGACCATCCAAGTCTAAAAGTGGGTAACCAAAAGAGAGATGTTATTCTCTCAAATAAATGACTCTATTCTTTATATCTGTTGGGCACATGTAATCTTTTTTTAAATATTATTTACAAAAGCCTGTGAAATCAATTGACATCTTACCCTAAGTGGGTTATACTGTCTGACAATCGCAGCACATCAGCAATGACCTGAACTGTGTTCATATCGAGGATGTTTTCTCCAAGCCTTAAGAATAAAATATTGTAGTTAGTGCGTAAGCCACATTGTATATCGCTCAACCTGGTGGTGTTGACACAATCATCACACAATCATCAGTACTGGGTTGGATGCATACCGAGCCATATGCTCTACCCAAGTGGAAAACCAAACTGATAGATGGGTGACTTCAGAGAGCTTGACAATGCAAACCAAATTTTACCTGGAACTCACCAAAGCTTCTCACTTCTGAGCAGCAGGGGCTGAATATCTCTAAGTGCCTCACAGCTTGCTCCCGTTCCTGTCAGATCCAGCTCTGATATTTTGCCCTTTGTAAGATTTAGGAAGTAAGTGATGGCATTGTAATCCATTTGGGTGAGTGTTTCGTCACTAACATTAACTCGCAGTGTAACTGGTTGTACAGCAAGGGCCAAAGAGGGATCCTGTTGCTCAAACAGACAGTGTAAATGGTTAAGGATATTGGCCCCATTCTCGCAGAGCATTGTGAGTTCTCTGATGATCTTCTGACGATAAGTGTGCACTTTTTCTCTATGGCAACACAACCCCACCTGCCTCAACAGAAGATTGCCATTGCGTTCAGAGAGGATTCCAGACAGGAAGCGGTTGAAAAGGTCCAAGTGTCCGTAGTTGGACCCCTCCCCAGGACTTGAAGTGTGCTGAAGTGCATCAGGTAAAGGGTGTTCTGACACTGCACAATAAACTGCAGCAAAGAACTCTTGAACAGTAAGGTGTGCAAAGGAGTAAACCTCTTCAGTGCAGCCGGGCTCTTGTGTCACCGTCTTGTCAAGGAAGGTGCTAACAAGGCTGCATCCCTCCAACGCTGCTACATCTCGGTCGCTGCTGTAGAATAGTGTTTGATGCTCCATTAGCTTTTGAAAGGCGAGTCGACCCAGCTTCAGCACCATACCAGACAGCTGCTGGACAGCCTCCAATCTTTTCTCTTGGAGAAATGTTTCGGCTCTTGGTTGAGTGTGAGAGCGAAGCAAGGCCACCAGATACTGCACATAAATGTCCGTCATGGTTTTGGGGCTCTCTCCACAGAGGTCTTTGCTTTCTTTGAGGATGCAGCATACAATGTAGCAAAATGCAGGTATGTAGCACAGTGTCAGCATTAAATCATTCGCTGAGACCACGGCAAACATGCGGTCAGCAAGGGCACTGTCTTGGAAGTAACGTAAGAAGAAGTCTTGAACTTCAACCAGGGAGAAGCCAGATATGAGCACAAAGCGGTCGATGCAGCCCACAGGTATGTGGTTAATAGCTGCAGGTCGACTTGTGAGCATGACAGAAGCACTGGGCAGCAGTTCACCCTGTATCAGACTCCCAACGACCTCCACCACCTCCGCATCTTCATCTGGCTCAGTCACAAATACGTCTACATCGCAGCTCCTATACTGTCTGAACTCATCAAAGCCGTCCAAGATGATCAACAGTTTGTTGTCATTTGCTAACATGTTATCCAGTTCCTTAGCCAGGTGCCTGTTTTTACGCAAGACCAACTCCCGGAAGTTTGTAGGTTTGTCGATCAGATTCAGGTCTCTGAAGGTCATGTGGATGATGAAGTCAAATGCAAGATGGCTCTTGTTTGCCCCAAAATCGAACAGCATCTTCTGCACCAGGATGGTTTTTCCGATGCCAGCCACCCCCGTCACCAGAACCTTCTTGACTGGACGGTTTCCGTTTGTGCTTGAAAAGAGTTTGGCTGGTGCGATTTTCCTATGCACCGCTGAATTCTGCTGCAAAAACAGTCGCTTCTGTCCAAACGTCAGCACCTCATGTCTTTTTACCTCCAAGCCCTGGTGTCCGTCGACCAACAAGAGATTGACATAATGTTCGGAAAAAAGGATTTTCTCTCCGTGTCGAGTGTTGTAGAAGAGCATGCTCTCACTCCGACGCCTGACGACGTCTCTGTGCTTTTGTTTGACTTTGTTATACTCTGCAAAAGAAGATAAGATTTATAGTATTAATAATTTAATAATTTAAAATACTTAAGTATTGTTACAAGTAAAAGTCCTGCACTGAAAGTGTCACTAAAGTCAAATGTAAGTATAATCAGGAAAATATACCTAAAGTAGTAGACATACTCACTGCAGAAAGAAAAATGTCTTGTTACACAATTATATATTAGGTTATTGTTAGTACTCATGCATTAATGTAAAATAAGCATTTTACTGTTATAATTGTTGAAGGGGAGCTCATTTTTATGATTATTTTCATTATGGATTAATCTGCTGATTCTTTTTTTCCATAAATCGATTACCTGAAATCCTAAAAATAGTGAGAAATGTCACAATTCCTCTGAGCCCAAAGTGACACCTTAACAATGCTTGCTTTCTAAAACTAACAGTACAAAGCTCAAAATGATTTAAAATCAATTAAAACTATTAAAAGGAAAAGCTGCAAATCTGCAAAAATGAAATGTTTTTACATGACAAATGTCTTAAATGATCAAAGTTGTTGCCAGTTAATTTCAATGTCAATCTAAAAATTGTGTCAGCTTGTATAAAATGTTGGGTTTTATTTATAACAAAACATATTTATTAAGTCTTCAAATGTTTCGTGTGTAAAAATCTTACTTTGTAAAGTAACTAGTAACTATAAATGTAGTGCAGTAAAGAGTACGATACCTCCCTCTTAGCTTAGCTCTTGGGGGATATAAAGTAAAAAGTGGTATGAAAAGAAAATACTCAAGTACAGGTACCTCAAATTTGTACCGTCCACCACTGGTTTATGAACAATGGAATATGGTTATTCTTCTTTCTCTCTCGTTGCATTAATGTGATTCAAATTATCTTACATGTACCAGCGAGAGCTCTTTGGTGTGAATTGCATACCTTCGGACTGAGGCTGGTGTGTGATGCCTTCTTTGGAGTGTGTCTGTGCTTCTTGTTGACTGCTAATTGAGAGAAAAATCTTAGCAGCTTCCTCGCCTTTACACTCCAGGATATCCAACACCTTTCTAACTCTTGCCCGGGGCCCCAACTGACACAACACCTCCTCACGGTCATCACGAGTGAACACCTCCCGAATTACTAAGATTTCCAGCAGAGAGTCAATCTGTCCTTCTAGTTCATCCACGAGGGAAACTCGCAGAACTTTGATTGCTGTCAAACAAGAACTACAACCATCCGTTTCCACCATAACTAATTGGAAATAATCTGCAGCACAAATCAGAAAAGTCCAGTTGGGATCTGCTGATGGTGCCAGTTTGAATCGTAGCGTCTAGATTTGTGTTGCAGAGCGATTTCCTCTCATAATTTAGAGGGATCCAGTGAATGCATGTCCCTCTTCAAGAACCGATACGTAGAATGTGAACTACAGCTTGTAAATTTGGAAAGAGGAAGTGCTTTTCCCTTTGAAAAAAACCTATCGAGAACAGCATTGACGGTCTTGTTTTTCTGGTTCATTACAGAACTCCCATTAAACTAAAATGCACCTTTTATATGTTCTGCCAAAGTGTTAAACTTTAAAAGAGCAGATTAGTGTATCGAAATTCCAGAGGTTGTGTTATACACCCACTTTAATAATCTAACATATTTGAGCACTTTGACTAGATAATGCATTTTTATAAAAAAAAAAAAAGAGAGAGAGAGAAAATCACAACAAACAGACAGATAACAAACAGATATAAAAGGAATGTATTTGGTTTTATTTAATGATTAACCAGCCATGAGCACAGAGCTACACGTCAAGTCACCAGCAGAGGGTCCCCATTGCATGCACATCAAATACCAGAGAAACTGTAGGGAAAAGAATACTTAAAACCCACCCCTGTAATTATTTACAAAACTATGCACAAGAACACACATGAAAATAAATAGTTAGAAGGACAAAACAAATATCTACATAACTTAAGAGCATAAGTAATGTGTTAATTATGTTATCCTCTCAAAATAAATCAAATCAAAATATAACACAGGTCTTGTTTACATATTTTAAGTTCAGCTAACAGAGAAATCTGAAAGGAAGAAGCGTTACATAAGAGCGGTCAAATGTAACACACTGCTTTTTTCCCCTATAATGTCACACTAAAGCAAAAATATCATTTGGTGGACAGGATAAATTGAGCTTTATTAGCTCAGCTAGGAACTATTCTGCCCCCCCCACCCCCATGTTTAAACGCGCTGTAACATCACAAAGTGGTTAAAGGAACAAATATCTTTCCAAGAAATACCAAAATCACAAAACAAAATATATAAACACTGTAACATTACAAACTAAATTTTACTTTTTTTTTTTTAACTCTACAAGTCATGTTCTTAACAAAGACTTGGATGAGTTGAGTGCAAATTAAGTCTTTTTTTTCTCTCCAAAAACTGACTTACTTCAGTCATACACCTCCGTAGTGCAACCCATGCAAGATAAATCTTTATCATGTCCTACTTTTTATTCTGCCAAAATGCACTTCAAACACATGCAATCCTTAATTCCTTTCCTCTTTAATGAACGACTTGACCAATCATTACGGTAAACACGTGCTTAAAAACCTAAAATGATAGCACAGATCATGATCTCTTTCCGAGGCAGCTGATACCAAATGTATACCATTGATCATAGGCTTTTAGTCACGGTAGCTACTTCCCATTTGTAGGCAGTATTATGCTGTATTTCTGTTGAGTTTACCTATACCTCATACCTAAGCTCATTTAGTATCAATATTTGACGGAAAACACTGATTTAGAGACCACTGAAATAAAGGCAAACACACACCAGTGGTTATCAAAAGCTCAGGGGTCTACCCAGAATCCCTGGGTATGAATTCAATCAATTAAAAACAGTATATTAATTACATATTTGTGTATTGTATGCTAAATTCCATGATAATATGCACCCTTATTTGGACATGAAGTGATGGCGCTACAATGTTGTAGCACTTTTGTTCCATCTGTTTTAGGAAACCACTGAAACTACACCAGATACCATTAATGCAGACAGGTTGCTTAGTCACCGCTATAATAAGTTCCCCATGATGAATTCATGCACCACAAGTTTCTATTACTCACAGTGGAAATGTCTCTTAGTTACATTTGAATAATTTAGGAAAGCTGTCAGACATGTCACTCCTCTCAAAACGTTCACATTGAAACCCACACATGATATCTTTGAGGAAAGTAGATCACAGCCGCTCTAGGTATCCCCATCCAGACATTCCACCACACTCAGGTATCCCCATCCAAGACTGTTCATTGAAGACAGTTGTGGGTGTTAGGACAGGGCGTAGCGGTTTCAAGTCTCTGTTGGCTGTGTGAATGTCTTCCCTGACTTAACCAGGTCATCCATGGTCCCTGTCTTACGTCCCTGCCTCAGGTGTTTCGGCAGGAATGACAGCAGCGGCTCTTAAACTGGGGCAGCGGACAAAGCTCCAGCTGTCGGACCTTCTCACAGTACCTTGTGCTGTCTTGACACTCTCCTGCTGGAATACACAGAGGTTACACTTCAGTACACGTACATACTTTACACCTAGTCACCTCTGCCTTCAGCAGGTACTCAAGCCAACTAGTACAATAAAAGACACTATGGTTTCTTTTCTTCTGTTCACCAAAATAGAAAATAATCTTAGAGAAACCCTTGTAGTATCTAGCCATGTGAAGCAGAGTCGAGACTCTGACGTCTGAAACTTCCAACACTCAATGGAGGTTAGTGGAATTTCATGTGTACTTTTCAAAGAATTGGCAAATGTAATTTGGAAAACAAGACTTCAAAATGTTCTCCCAGAAATAATATTTCCAATGTAAAAAGTTTCTATAGGGGCTGTGAGTAATTCAAAGTAACTGGGGCTTTTTTCTGGGAATACCTGATGCTGCATTGGTTTCTTAAAGGTTTGTTTCAGTATTTTGAGTACCACAGGTGAAATTCCCTACAGTTGTTCTGTACTGGGATTGCAGTAGAAATTTTAGGAAACAATGCTTCCAAACCTCAGCACATGAAACCAAAAATAGGAATGACAGCAGCGCCTCTTAAAAATAGTCTGGGAATAAGGGAATCTAACATGTCACAACATAGTTTTTTCACAGATGATTCTGGCAATTTATACTTTAAATGTATATGTTATGTATATTTCAGAACATGCCATTTATGTGTTCATGACAGAGGCTGGGACAAACAGCAATGAGCAGTGTTGTATTGAGGTTATTTTCAGTGTTTTCACCTCTAAAACATGCTTTCATCATATACAATTGTACTATATTCAATATGCTATACATCAGATAAATCCAGGATAAATTCAAAATCAAGATGTTATGCCATCATGCAGTGTGACACTGAACAACTTACAATTAAGAAACCACTGGTCTCCATTTTGCCATCAGCGCTACTTTTCTCACCTCTGCCACAGGACAAAATATTGCATCGCTGCCAGCTGGGAGGGCGAGGCCTCCACATGCAGTGATGCTCACGTGTGGCCTTTCCAGTTCGACGGTGTGTGCAGGTCACCTGGCGTGACTGGAAACCATGCCGTCCACAGGTGGCAGTGCACTGCGTCCACGGCCCCACGCGCCAATGAAGGGCACAGGCCTCTGTCGAGCAATTCTTCAGGGAGCTGGGCCTACAAATACAAACACACGTAACACTGAAGGTATCACTGTACTTTTTAATTGTACCTCAACATATTATCCAGTATATTGATTTTATGATATCCATATTTACCTCTGGAGTCCACTGCACATCCTGGAGGGGACTTTGGTGGCGTTTGTGTCTTGGCAGTAAACGTGGCGGTGCTGTGTGGCCAAACTTGGACCCACACATTGACCATGACACTGAAAAAGGAAATTCCATCACAATTTTTTAGTTTGACAATACTTCCCTGCTAATAACTAACAGGCCTATCTGCTCTCAAGTTTTAAATGTAAAGTAGGCCTCATGATAAAAGCATTTAGTTTGTTGTTTTATATATATATATATATATATATATATATATATATATATATATATATATACGGAAGCTACTTTTTTGCAAACATTATACATTAGTGTTAGACAATGGAATATTCAGAGTAGCAAAGATGTGACAGGGTTAACACCCTAACAAATATATGACTCATAATAGATAAGGAAGGATTATTTCCCCTTAAATACGCTGGCAATCAAATAAAACAAACAAATGCTCAAATGTGGCAGTTATTCAGCAGTTGAGAGACTACCTCAAATTAACAATCAAAGAATTGGCACACAGTGGATAAGGTCAAAAAGCCTTGACACAGTCCATGTACACTTGTTGAGATGTGTTTGAGGTCAATGTAAGTGGTCTCACCAGCCCCCAGTGGGTAGTGGTCCACCTGGCACAGGGAAGTAGGTTACATAGCCTGGTGTCAGAGGGTCTCCTCCCCATTCCAAGGCAGTGGTGGCTCTCCACCTCTCTTGATCTGCCCTCAGGACCCTTCATGCAGCGGACACTCCTGGTCTGGGACCCACCTCCACAACTGCTTGAGCATGGTGACCAAGGATCCACTCGCCACCTAATCCAACCACAGAGGGAAAATAGACAATAACTAAAGTTCTCAAAGGTATTAATCACTTAAGCCTCATGGAGAAATATTATGAAATCTAATATTCAAAGTACTGGATGTAGTAGTTGCAAGGTACCTCAGGGGGCAGGCTTGTCCATGGCACAGCTCAGCTGACTGGCTGCCATTAATCCTCTCAGAGCAAACAGGGTCACTTGCTCCCATGCTGTTACCTTGGACACAGTTTCTTCCTTTACCACCTGAAAATAAAATAAAAATCTTTGTGGTCTTGGATGTTGCAGAAATCAAAAGAGAAAGAATTGTCTTTTTAATCTGTACTGTATATTGTTGATTATAGTTTTCAAGTCTTAATGCAGTGACCTTACTGGTTCAGTGTCAACGGTTATGTCACATACCTCAACTCAACAACATGTATACACCAGAAATAATTAGCTGTAGCTGAAAATGCTTTTGAATTGCCTGACAGACTAATAGTCCTGATGTGTAATTGGTAATGTAGGCCTCATTCTTGGTTTTCTCACTTAAGATTAAACAACATCAGAATACTTAGTTAAAGCTACGTTACATAAGAATGGTCCCAAGGGGAAAAATTGGAATATGTCTCAATATGTTCTTTAGTCAATCTTTTGTTACAATTACTGCATGTTACTTGTTACTTCAGCAGCTTTAAATTTTGTCTTTGACATTACCAAGAGGGTCATGGCCAGTTCTTGTTCAGTAATGCACTTTCCAAGAACCTGGGAAAAAAAATATATTTTCAAATTCAATTTGCCTCTAAAGTCATTAACAATACTTGGGATTGCATTCTTACAAATCATGTGCATCCCTTTGACAAGACCTTCAAGCGATTTTGACTAAAAAATATAAAAGAAAATACAGACTGGACATTTTTCAGTACTTTTAAGCCCCTTTATCCTCTCTGTTTAGATAAGGCGAATGGGGGTGCTCCCACTCTTTGAAACATTGCCTGGAATCTCTAATTGTTGTCGTATGAGAAGGAAAAGTGCCGGAGCATCAGGAAACCGGCGGTGGCGGTGCTTTGATGAGAAAACAGCAAGGCTGAAGCTGATCATGCCCTGAGGAGACGAAGGACAGTGCCGCTCTGAGATGACCCGAGCTGTGAAACACTCCGGACATTCCCCATCACTGACTCAGCTAAATGAGCCACTAGGGTATGCAAAAGCTTACTGTATGTCTATGTCTGTGGTTATGCCTGTGTGTGTGTTTCTCAGTTGAAAAGAATGCTTTCCCAGAATCTCTAAGCCTGAACCACAAAAGAACAACACATAGCACTTTAATCCCAACTACATGAAAGTATATTAGACTAACTGAACTTAGGTTAATACTGACTCTATTGATTGTTTGTATGTGAATAAACAGCTTTCAGCAATGTAACCAGCTACATCACACTTAAAGAACACTTTAGAGGTGCTGGTACGCCACTTTTTATTTTAACCAACACAGCCAGGCTAGGTTTTCCCCGTTTTTCTAGATTTTATGCTATGATAAGCTAACGGTTACCTGGCACTAGCTTCATAATCTACAAGCATAAGTGGTATCCATGTTTTTCTAAACTTCATGTCAGAACAATATTTAGATCAAAGCTGCCGTGTTTTTACTTTTGAACCCTAAAGTTGTAGATGTCTTGTGTTTCATTTTTTTATCATATTTTTTTTTAACCTTGGGAGCCTCATTACAACTTAAAATAAAGCTCTGAATTTTAGGACAATCATTCTTCACACAGAATGATTTAACAGAACCACTGAAGAGGTTAAAATAATCATTACCTAGCAAGAATTACATTATTTAAACATGCTTGTAGCAAGATCCTGTCTTTGTGGATCTTACCTGTCATGTGCAGCAAAGAAGTAAGAGATGTAGATCCGAGACTGTTCCTGGCAGTGCAGGTGTACAGACCCTCGTCCACCTTGCTTGGAGACTGGATCCTCAATGAGCCAGTGGGCAACAGTCCTACTCTGCCAAAACCAAGACAACATAACCACTAAATCTGTGACAATTCTTTCACAGAACAGATGGCTACTTTCATACAACAAAATATTTTATACTAACACAACTTGTTACTGCTTTTTGCACAAAAAAGGGTCACATTTAAGGGTTCTGGTTCTTACCTGCTGTTGTACTGCAACACTTCTCCATTCTTTGTCCATGTTAGGGATGGTTCAGGGCTCCCCAGTGCCTCACACCTCAACTCCAAACTAGCAATGGGTTTTTGCAGCAAAACCGGCAGTCCCACATGAACTATCATTTCAGGTGACGGCACCACTCCGACCTTCCTGGGCCGTTGTATTATTACCGGGTTTCTTGGCCTGGATGCATGGGCTTGGATGTTAGGTTTATAAAGGAGGGGCCCTTGCGTGGAGGATTCTGCACTTTCTGGGGGATGAAGCGTAGACTCATTGGTTTCACCTTGTGTCATAGTGAGCTCACTGAGCAACTGTGCAATGAGTTGTTCCCCCCGTGGTCCTCCGAGGCCTTCAGAGAGATTGTGCATGATCTCATCAAGCCTGTGGGTATCAGTGGTGAGTACGAGCAGGCTTGAAAGTTCTGAGTTTGTTTTCTCAACCCTCAGGGTCGACCTGTTCTTTTCACTAGAGTGTGTTTTATCAGCAATGTCTTCTTCATCTTGGAGAGAGCTTTTGAGTTCAAGCAAATGTTCAACAATGTTGTCATATTGGTTGAGGGGAATGGGTAGCTCCTGAGATCTTTCTCCTGTTGAGGCCACACCTGGCAGCCCAACCTTTTGTTGTCCACCTGTGAGGAGCCATGGCTCTGGAACGGAGAGCTTCTGCTTGCTGCCTATGATCTGTAGGACAAAATGTTCTTTGGCCTGACCTGCGACGCATGTGTATATCCCAGCATCAGATGCACGAACCTGCTGAATCTTCAAGTACCCTAGTGATGTTATGGAGAGGTGTGAAAGGCTGAACAAGGGCTTTCCTTCTTTCAACCATCGGATGTGGCTCTTGCGAAAGTGGCGGGTTGGGCAGCGAAGGACCACAGTTGTCCAGGGGAACAGGTATGCATAGCCGCCTACTACCAAGTGTAACTTTTTGCCCTTCCTCCACTGAATATACACCTTCCTCTGGGCCAGTATGGTGGGATAGGGCTTGACAGAGTCTGTGGTGAAATTAACAGAACAGGTTGTTTCATTATTGTCTATGGTGCATTAGCAATTTTAAAGCAATTTCCACTGACACACAAACTTAGCAACATAATGTTTTTTTCCTGCTTACTAACAAATCTTTTCATCCATTTACAGTCTCTTAGCAGCACAAATTGACAAAATAGAGCCTAAAAGAGGGTCTCTTACTCTCACAGAGCCTGAGGGAGCATGGCCGGATTCTGGTGGGCTGGGCCATCAGGGAGCAGTTCTCAGGCTCCACGATCGAATGTCCCCCATCTTCCCCTTGTTTTCTGCAGACTGCCTGTAGTCTCTGAATGCCTTTTCCACAGGTCACTGAACACTGGACAAATAAATGATATTGTAAGATATGATAATAAGCAGACCCTATATAATGATGTGTCATTATATTTTGATTCTGACCACTTCAAAAAGATAGTTTGGTGCCTTGGGGAAAGCCTACCTGGGACCAGCCAGTTGTGACCCACTGAGGTGGGCACTCTTGCTTTGCACAGGGCTGCTGGTTTGCAGGGCTCTTGGAAGGGCAAAAGGTATCAGGCAGCTCCAGGATGCTGCCATCTGCCAACCGCTGTTTGCACAGTACCTGCCTACTTTGATATCCCCCACTACAGCTCTGGGAGCACTGCAGCAACAAAATTACATAAGTGTTATATTAGCAATATGTCCTAAATGCTTCAGTCCAATTGCTGAGCCAGGCATTTATGGTGGTGAACTTCCTAGGTGATCCTTTTACCTGTCTCCAGTCACCTGTGTCCCACATAGGAGGGCAGTCAAAGCGGTTGCAGGCTTGGACAGGACTGGGCTTTGGGTTCTGGCAGTCTTCATCCCTCAAAACCCGAGTACGATTGCTGTCCCTAGAGGGCCGGTGAGTGCATGCCACAGTGCGGGTCATAAGACCAACCCCACAGGTAGCAGAGCATGAACTCCACTCCCCTGTTTCCCACCTGTGAAAACAAAGTTTACCATCAAACTGTACATCATGGTCAATTATCTGTAAAATCTTCTTTGAACCAGATATTACCACCAGGTTACTTTGTCTGTTTTGACTTTTACCTGTATTTGGTTGTTAACTACACATGGTTTAGTTTTTAAGTAAAGCATCATAACTTAACTTTTGCTTGTGCTGGGCCACTGATTTTTCAACTCTTAACCTTTGCTGTTCCTGATTAATCACCACACTTTGTCTTTTGTGCACACATGTATGTAGCCCATTATCCAATCTATAAAGGAGTGCAGTCGGGAGGAGGTCAGTCAGAGTGCTTGATATTTTTACTTGATCCCATGAGAGGACACTCTTGCAGTCTTATAAATGTGTAAATTCATGAAAGTGAATACGAGAGAAAACGAAAAGAGTGATTCATGGGGCCAGATCCTGGCAAAGAAACATTAAATCTCCCACTGAATTTACTGATATCTGAGAAATCCCTATGGCATTACTTCTTCACCTGCCTTTTTCCCAGTGACCTCCGTGGACCAATATTAATTTTGTTGTCTAAGCCAATTTCATACATGGTGATCAATCCAGCATCAAAGTTTTCTGAGCATTTTTTCACATAATTTTTCCAAACATGAAAATGATGTGGCATGTGTCTAAAAGCATCTAAAAGCTTTGGCTTTGACCAAGATCACAGAAACTTAACATCTTGCTTGACAGATAAGGTAATATTTCAAAACTGTTCTTATTTAATCAAGAGTCCAGAGGCTGAGGAGAATTGGGAATGAAACTTGTTTCTGGACTGGTACTATACTCAAAGCCAAATCCTATGGCTGTTTCCCCTCAGAGGGAACAGTATCCAAAGAGTGTAGCTTAATATGGGAGGGTGAGGAGGCCTCAGGGAGGGAGTAAAGGGCCAAAGGAAACAAGTCCAATACAGCGTTTGTTGTGCCTGAAAACAAGACTCTGGCCTGGAAAAACAGGCAACGGCAGGCTGCAAGCCTCTGGGTTTTCTGACAAAAGTGTGAGTGGTAGAACACCGACACTGCGCACAGTGTTAACTTGAAACGTGTGGCCTACCGCAAAATCCACTCACCGTTTAGCCATGGCTCAGTTGTATTAAACAACATGTCATTATGCTGTTTAACCATTCAGGTATTTCATTTTGATGAATTTGGTGTGCTCTGTTCACACAAATCGGTTAGCATATATTACACATTGTACCTTTAATAGTGTAGGCTCCATCTACAATCATTCTCAAATTTAAATGTTATGGCAACAGCCTACTTATAATAGCACTAATATCATAGTTGCATTTCAATAATTTCGACATTTAGCAAGGATATTCATGGTCCCCAGAGGGTGAACCCACACTGATCTTAGTGACTCCCTCAAAGTCAAAAAAACACAAAACTTTGTTCTTGACCAGCACGTCTGGTCATGAATAGCTATCCCTAAAACTAATGGCCAAGATTTCTATGAAATATCATTGTTCCCAGAAGATAAATCCTGACTTTACATTCTTAAGTTCCTTTAAAAAAGAAATAGCAACCCCCATCCCTGATCCCCATAAGATGAATCCTTCCATTTTTAACACTCAATGAGCTTTTCTTTAGAGTCAACCTCAGGTCAAAGTGTCAACATGGTGCACAGGATAATTAAAACCAACATTAATCTGATTTTTATTAAATCTTTCGAAGACTTCCATGATACCCAGAGGATGAATCTACAAGTTTATGATGCCTGACTGCTTAATGTACAGTAACAGAGGCTTCCTATATTGTTGTGCTGAAAAAAAAATTGTCCTTGGAAGAACTTTTCAACATCTGAGCAGAGCAAGTATAGCTACCACTGACATCTGATTCCTATTGTGTCTGATTCTGACCAGGTTCCACAAGCTGTCCTACTGGCTTAATTTCCTGCTTTCAGTGATACAGCCATCCATCTCTGTCTTTCTGCTTCAGTATCACTTGGACTCAAGTGGCTTAAATGGTGATTTAATTGGCCCAAGTGGTTCAAACCGAGAGGATAACGTAGTGGATTAGAAGGATTTGAATCTCTTTTGTACACAACCAGTGATTGGTAGAGATTAATTGTAACTAGTGTGATGTGTATTGTTTGATTTGTTTGAAAGTTAAGCAGTTCCAGGTGTAGAACCCAGGGCTTCAGGGCTCTAGGAAATGGAACAAGAATTTCCCAGCTCTATATATATATATTGCATATTTTGCTGGGTTACTGGCAAACTAGTAAAGAGCAGAGCCAGGTTTCAGTCCTGTTTTTAATTAATATTTTCTTCTTGATTGCAGCCAAACTCTTTTTTCCCCAAAAACACATTTCTTCCTCATTTTTACTGCATCCATCCATCAAGCCTTTTTTAATGTTTACGTACAAAACATTTGAAACAATGTCTAAATGATAATGATGTAGGTCTGATTTGCTGGTTGTACAGTACCTGGGTGGGCAGGGCTGTGCTTTGCAGTCCTGGAGGAGTTGTGGGGGCCGACGGGTGCTCACACACAGGCTCTGGTCTGCTGCCTCTCTGGTCTGCTTGTTCAGGCAGATGACCACAGCCTCCTGCACACCTGGGATTACACAGTAATGAGCAGTCACAAGGGATGTCCAAAGAACTATGAGCTATTTTGCAGGGTTCCATCAGTGTTTTTAACTTTTAAAATGCTCACTGTTCCGTATCTTCAAAATGCACTGGCACTGCAATTAAGAAGCCCAGATATTAGGCCCCTCTATGAAAGCAAGCAGTGGCTGTATCTAGTGGGGCACGCACAATGAACGTCAAAATAGCACAGCTGCCTGCTTAAGTTCTGGCCTGAACTGTGGATAAACTGTAAGGGTGTGATGTCAGGTCATGTTAAAAGCGACGCAACATAAGTCTTGCAGTCTGCTTCTAATGGTGGGGACAATAACAGTGAAGCGAGCACTTCAAACGCTGTAGTATTGTGATGGTCCACAGGAGCGCAGCCTTCAGGGTGTGTATGTGACATCCGATACCAGTCTGTAATCATCCCCGAATGAGAGTCTGGTGAGCGCATACACACATAGACATTGACAAAAGCCTACACCCATGTGCAGAAGTTACACATGCACACCAATGCTGACATACATGCTTGGATGCGGAGGTGGGAAGATTAAAGTGGCCCTCAACGAATTTTGGCAGGATGTTTAGGCTGTCTGGTGCAGCATTCACTGCAGCTGTGAGAGTTGGTGACGTTTGACCTTTGGGGTTAAACTTGGTATTCCAACCATTATCATGTAATATGATATAACTTACTTCTACTTCATAGCCCATATTGGCATGGCTTGGCTAGTCATCCACTGACATAAGTGCACTGGTTACTGCTGTTGTTTTAATACAACAACTGGAACAATTCAGTGACACTGATGGAGTGGGGGTTGCTTTCAGCAATTACAGGGCATTTAAACTATGAATTACAATGTATTTGTTGTATTTATAAAAATAAAACTATTCTGTCATGGATTAAATGTAACACTGTCTTTGTTGTATTGGGACTTTTGAATCCGTTCTCTTCTTTTTAGCCACACTAGCAGTGTGGCTCTGGGGATGGCAATGTTGGTTGGTCCAGACTGAAATACTAAAAAAATATTTTGCACTTAGCTCAAAGCACCACTGTGTTTGAGTACAGCCTCACATAGGTGCTAGCAAAGCTGTAGAACTTTTCGAATTCACATTCTTGTCCTTTCTAGGTCTATTTCTTTACTTTCTCATATCAAAGAGGTCAATAATGATTCATACCTCCCCCGCAACTTTCTGAGCACTCTGTAAATCCCTCATACTCCCAGTCATGTAGTTCTTCTCTTTCAGGCGTTGGCCCCCTCTCCTCCTCCACCTCCTCCTCCTTTTCCCTTTCTTTTCCTTTGCCCAAGACACCAGAGCAAGGAGTACGGTAGCAAGGCTGGCTCGTAGCAGGTTTGACCCCCTCACACTCATCATCAGGCAGGTCAGCAACAGTCTGGGAGAAGGATAGCAACACCTGACACTTGACGGTCCGTTGCTGGGTCCCGGCGCCGCATGTCCTGCTGCAGGGCTGCCAGCGACCAGGGATGAAGCTGGAGAGGAGAGCCAGCAGGTTTGAGGAAACACAAACGGGATGATAAATTGCACGCATAAAAATATAACCTAATTCTGTTAATTTAGCTAGTGAACTCCACAAGCTTGGAAAAATAGTCATTTTTGATTTGATTGACTCATTTACTACAAAGTCCATAAACTCACTAAGTTTTTATGAAATCCAGCCCTGCTGTGGTTAACTGAACAGCTGTGAAGCATTAGGATGAGCCATTCCTGGATAAACTGCTTTCATGCGCATCCTTCCTCGTGTTAAAGAATGGATCAGAGGGGGGAATGCTCTTAGATCATTGGCGGTTCCTGTGTTGGAAGGCCTGTCAAGGTTGGGTGAGAGTTAAGGCTCAATAGCTTTGGGAGAGTGTAAAAGAATTTTTTTTTAAAATGGAAAGTGTGAGACTGAAAGATGTCTGAATCCCTCTTGATCTTCATATTTAATAAGTGGCCTTCTCAAAGCCAATTTAACCTTTTCAGGGAATTCACATAAAAAACGTTGGCTAAAATTAAAAGCTTAGTTCTTTGAAGGATCAAGGAGGGGAAATCTACTTCAAGCTAGGTTTACCAGAACGTCCATGATGATTCAATGATGTTCAGATCTGGTGACTGGCTAGATAAACCGGTAATGGAATTATGGAGCAGTGGGGGTATGCACATTTTTAAATTTGCAAATATAAAGACCAAACAACATTTGTACCACATGGTGCATCTGATACCCCCCAATGGACCCTTAACATAACCATGAGAGCAGTCCTCAGTCTACTTTTGCACAAAGCTAAACAAAGCAGTTTTAAACTAGCAATATACTGAAATTCCTACTGACCTGCAAACAATCAAATGTCAAGTTGTTATGAATGGTGATGCAATTGCTTAGATTATAAAAAAAGGAATGGACTGCATAATCAGTAACCACAAATTTTTTCATTCATACATTCATTAGTATTTTCCACAACAATTAATTCTCTGTTCAGTTTATTGGTGTGGTGTTAACTTTAAAAAAGTTTTTTTTGTATTCTTTTTGTTCAAAATGTGAATATGATTGGTAAAAATATTGTTTTGTAAACCCAGTTAGTGAAGCTAACCTCCAAATTGTTCCAGTAAATCGCTGCACTCTTTGGTTTTATAAAACTACCAAATTAGTTTCCTACACCATACATTATCCGTGTGCATGGATTTCACAGATAGAGGCACTTACTAACATGGCAGCATGCACCAATGTGCGGCATTCTTCCTTGGTTGAGCAGCCTGACCACAACACAAGAGCACCCTACTGTTTAATATGATGCCTCAATAAAGAGCTCGTAATTACAGCAAAGCTGGCTCTTTAGGAGTGCTCAAGGACTCACTGTGTTTTAGACAAACAAATGAATCACCTGTAGTTAGACCTTTGGAACACAAGCAACAAAGCAACAGGCGAACCCACGAAATGTTAATCTTCATGCGTAGTTAAAGTACATCTGTCGGATTAAAAAACAATCTTGATTTCATTCATGGACGGAAACAACATATTTTTGTAATATCTGCCAAAGCCCCATGTTAATCAAATGAATTAAATTTCCATCAATGGAAATATTTTATTGACTCATGGTACTGGTAAGGTGAAAAAAAACATGGGTTTAATTTTTCAAATGTTGCACAGAGGTGGCTTGGGACAGGCATAAGGCCTGGCTATGGAGGTGCAATAAGTCTAACACAGGAATTTCCTTCTCTTTCCTTTCACATCCGTAACCTGGCCCCATAAGGTAGGCAGATATTGTTGTTGGCTAGTGAATGACTGCATATTATACACAGATATTTATGTGATTTTGTAGGAAAGACATGCTTTTTTTGCAATAGAGCAAAATCATATGTTTTGGCATTTCTCTCTTTCTCTCCCACTCTCGCGCTCCAAAGATAAGTCAAAGTAACAGATGTTTTGAACTGGCAAACATGGTCGCTAATACGAGTCATGCAAGACATTGGGTAGAGTCCAGACATCTTCAGAGGACAGCCTTTATTAGTCAACTGATATGTGGGAACATCTGAGGCTTGCTGAGGTAATGTTGGTAGCCAGTGACTGAACAGTCCGGAGGTTTCAAAATAGATGTTATTCCTCTTTCACCGTTTCACTGTTCAACCTCATACGCCATATTCATTACTTCAGTCTGACAATACAAACCTTCATTGAAGCCAAACAGAATGAAATATCTGATTTCAGAGAGGGTGAATTCTTCTTTACTTGTCTTGACAAAACCTTCAGACAAACATTTGGCAGGTGTACAAAAAGACATGCACTCAAACTGGTGCATATCTTGAAGTGAAGTGTCAAAAAAATGGGGGCTACTGGTGTAGATTTTGACTCCAAGCTGTCGTAAATTGCTGTTGACATGAGGTTTCATGGCAGCACCGGGCCCCGTCTACTTCAGTTACACCTCAAGATAAATCCTAATATCCCATGAAGCTTGAGATTTATAACTTCAGCAGTTGCATCCTCCTAACTTATTTGTAGCCCTAGCACCTGTGATGGTTTCAACAGAACCTTCACCTCTGGCAGTAAATTGCATGTATATGGTTGTAGTGTGGAGTGCCAGTAAATATAAGTAGAATTACAAGTTTGAACTTCAGCTCCTACTGCTTTCAATAGAAGAAAGCAACAAATAGACATATTTTGAAATCACTGTGATCAAATTAATATCCTTATTTATGCACGCATGCACGTGTCCGGCACTCACGTTGGTTCCTCAGTAACACTTATCTCCTCCTCCAGCTCTATGGCCTGCTTATGCCACACAGGTTTTGCCTCAACTGGGAGCGTATCTGCAGTAAATCACCCAGAAAACACAAAGATTGAACAAGTGAAATACTGTTTCATTTTAGAAATAAGTACAAGTTTGGTGGTTAAAACATGACAAAAAATAACAATCTAACCTACCTATGGACTTATAACAGGGCACGGTCACCAGGCACTCCTCTTTGATATGGGGTTTGGTGGTGGGGTTACAACCTCCAGCATGGAGTCCTCTGTGATCGATGCATAACACCACCCTGTAGCGCAGACCCTGACCACAGGTCACTGTGCACTGGTGGTGACAGGACAGTTCATAGAAAGAGATATAGTATATAAATGACTGAAGTACTGATCATTTTCACACACACAGAGCAAACGTGTTAAACCATGCTCCTATGCTTGCATCTCTTTTCTTGTGTTTAACAGGAAGTCTCAGCCCTTGGACTCAAGGGAAGTTAAGAACGAGACCTTCCAAAATCCCTGCAGCTCTCTGTGCAGGGGTGAACTTTGTGCATCATCTGCCAAAACAAGCATTTAAAGGCAGGTTCACAAGGAAGAATGTGCTAGATAAACAGAACCCCAGGTTTTTAAAGGACCACAAATTTGACTCCCTGGGCCTCTGCTCAGAGCCTGTATAACTGGTGAGGAAGGTGTATGGGACATTTATGGTTAATGTAACAGCAACTGCAATACTTAAAGCAATAAGTACAATAACCAGAATTACCAGGAGTGTTTGGTGAAGGACACTTAGATTGAGGTTAGTGGTGCTACTCAGAATCACGTAGCAAGGTTGTGTTCTAACTTGCAAGTGTTCCTGATCTGTTAGAAATGTTGATAAATGCCAAAAACCAAGGTCAGAGGGTCTGTATTTTTGTTTTTCCCTAAGATCCAGAAATTAATTAAGACCCACTGTGGTGATTCACAGGCTAAAAAAGACAAATGAACCATTTGCTAATATTAGACTTCACAGGTGGTAACAGCTACAGAACACAACAAAGAGCAAGAGAACAAAGAGACCTAGATCTATTTACATTTGGTTTCTAGGCATTTTTAGCTGTGATGTTTTACAGTGCTTCACAAAAGAACAACTTTAATCAATTAAGCCTCAGTGTGGCCTTTAAACTTCATTTTCTGGGCTCTTGTATGGTCTTCATATTGTGCAGAAGTAATAACCATTAAGAACAATTTAAAAAACATCACTCAAAAGATACATGTTCAAATACAGGAATTTTAAAAAAGGCACCTACAGGTGACCATTCCTGTGCCAGCCAAGTGGGGCAGTCGAAGGTGTTGCAGGGCTGCAGGATAGCCGTCTTGGGGGAGTAGAGACATTTCCATTCCTCAGTGAGAGTGATGACACCTTGCATGTCTTCCTCCACACAGGATACGGAGCGACTCTGGATGCCTCCGCCACATGAGGTGGAGCAGGCGGTCCAGGGACTGCTCTCCCATCTGACATCATAAAAGGTTAGTCATGAAGTCACAGATGGAGAATTTGTGTTGCGTTTGTTGTGCCACTACTTTCACCTCATAGTTGTGAGTACATACCGGGGCAGGGGGTGGTAGAGGTCATATGGCATAATTTGCTTGTAGCCGTCACTAAAAGGCAGAATAAATTAAGGAAGTTAGGATTTATGATTATACAAACATCTGTTGACAGATCATAAACATGGATGTCTGCAGTTAAAATTAAGTGTTTTGTCCAGATGAATCCCCCTGGAGGTCTGGTCCCTAACCTGGCCAGGCAGGGCTCCATGTTGCACTCCTGGAGTTTGGGTTTAGGCTTGACGTTCTCTGGGTAATAATGGCAATACTGATCCACCACCACCCGGCCGCTCCGAAGATCAAAGCACTCTGCTGAGGTTAGCTGGTACCCTACAGACAAATAATGTCAGTCATCCAAAAAGAATCAACACAAAAACTGATGCTAAAATGAAATCAAAACTTAGTAAACCAAGATGGCGCTGCAGACGGCCGCCTCTGGATTACGCTCCATAGTGCTTTTTGTGTTTTTGTTTATAAACTCTGTTTTCTGCCGTCCCTCTCTGGTAACATTTACCAGAAAGAGATCTTAAATATTGGACTTTCAATGGCTCACACTATTCCACCGCTGTTTATTGAACCTGGAACTTTCCCGAAGTTATTAGTTGAAGGAGATGCAAGTCCTCACTTAGAGCCATTATTCATAAATTGTAAACCTTTTTATTCACCGCGGGAGATTATCTCGTTTGTTTTGGTCGCGGTTTACATTCCACCTCAGGCCTGTGTTAGTGAAGCGTTACTACACCTGGCTGACCAGATAACTAACGTGGAGAAAAAACATCCAGACTCCCTGCTCATTGTTCTCGTGGACTCAACAGAGCAAAACTCAGCCATGAACTTCCAAAGTATAGACGGCATATTAAGTGTCCCACTAGGGACACTAACATACTGCACCACTGCTACACAACATTAAAGGACGCCTATCGCTCTGTTCCACATGCACCCCTTTAGCTCTCTGATCACTGTCTGGTTCATCTTATCCCGACATACAGAGACTAAACATGTTGTAAAGAGTGCCAAAAGATGGACCAACGGGTCAAAGGTGGATTTACAGGCCTGCTTTGACTGCACTGACTGGAGTGTTTTTGAGGCTGCAGCCACCTGGACAAACTAACTGACACTGTGACATCTTACATCAGTTTTTGTGAGGACATGTGTGTACCGACTAAAACCTTCCACACATACAACAACCAAAAACCAAACTCACCCAGCTCACTGTGCCAGCCTCCACCTGTCAGTGGATCACAGACTTCCTGACTGACAGGCGTCAGCAGGTGAGGCTGCTAACCCAGACTATTAGCACTGGCGCCCCCCAGGGGTGTGTGCTCTCCCCCCCTGCTCTTCTCCCTCTATACCAACGACTGCACCTCAAGGGACCCATCTGTCAAACTCCTGAAGTTCGCTGACGACAACGGTCATCGGCCTTATCCGGGACTGTGATGAGTCGGCCTACAGATGGGAGGTTGACCAGCTGGCTCTCTGGTGCGGCCAGAACAACCTGGAGCTTAACATGCTCAAAACTGTGGAGATGATTGGACTTCAGGAGGAGCCCCCCCCCAATCTGCCCCCCATCACCGTACTCAACAGCCCTGTCTGCTGTGGAATCCTTCAGGTTTCTGGGATCCACTATATCCCAGGACCTGAAGTGGGAGCCCAACACTGACACCATCATCAGGAAGGCCTAGCAGAGGACGTCCTTCCTGCACCACCTCAGGAAGCTCAACCTGCCTAAGGACCTGCTGATCCAGTTCTACACAGCCATCATCCAGTCTGTCCTCTGCACCTCCATCACTGTCTGGTTTGGATCTGCCACCAAAAAGGACAGGAGCAGACTACAACAGACAGTCAGGACTGCAGAAAAAAAATCATTGGTGCCAACCTGCCCTCCATTCAGGACTTTTTCTAGAGTCAGGACAAAATTCCCTGCAGATCCATCTCACCCCGGACGCAACCTGTTCCAGCTTCTCCCCTCTGGTAGACGATACAGAGCACTGTACGCCAAAACCAACAGACTCAGGAAAAGATTCTTCCCACAAGCCATCACTCTGATGAACAGTAACAGTCAAATTTCTCGTATGTGCACAAATACCTGGCAATAAAGCTGATTCTGAGTGGAGCAATTATTTATCTGCCACATAAGAGGACTTGTTGGCATCACAGCTTTTAATTAGTATCAAGTACTTTGTCCACCATGCCAGCCGTGACACTCCAGACTCTATGCTTACCTCCACCACACGTGACGGAGCAAGGGAAGAAGTCGGTCTCTCTCCAACGGTGGATGATGGGCTGGTAGTATATGTACTGGACCACACTGTCTGCTCCACTGGCAAACTGCACCTACGGAAACAGTACTCACGGTGTGACCGCCAAATTTGTTCGCTATTTTGTTTCAATTTGAAGAAATGATGCCACCTACTGCCAGCAGCCAGTCAACTTAGCTTAGCATAAAAACTGGAAGCGTGTGGATCATCTAGCCTGGCTCTGGCCAAAGGTAACACAAAGCAACAACAGTAGCAGGATAAAAGTCTCACTTCATAGGAAGTGATAATTAATTGACTGGATGAGAGTAGACAATTTAATTGTGGTAAGATAAAGAACACAGACTATGTGTAGTGTGTGTGATTTGTTGGTCCTTCTCATAAATATTTCAGCAAACATTTTTCTTCTAACCTCACGCCTCAACCATATTGAAGAAATGCCCAAAGCCAGATTATGCATACAACACATATAAATCAAACTCCACTGACACTCATTCACATTCATGTGTTTACAGTGGAAAGCCTGTCTGGCCACTTTTTAAATATGATTTTCCATTTGTGCAAACCTTTTCCAGCGCTGCGATATGAATTGGCTGTCTGCCTTGTAACAGATTAGAAAATTATGCATTTATAGCCTCTCAGATTTCCGATCCTGACTTGTGTTTATGAGGGAGGAAGTTTTCGCAGGCGTTTCCCAGTCTGTGGCCTGTATAAGTTTTTAACGTCCACTCACTGGCCCTAGTCTGTGCATGTGTGTGTGAGTGTGTGTGTTTGTACGTAACAAAGCAGAAAAGGATGTTGCAGCCATTGTATCATGGCATTTTTTGAAAAATCCTACTGAATTTATGAGCTGAATTTGTGTTGTGTTATAACACATACTATAAATTAAAACTTGACATTTGATTACCAGATGTATTATGATTGAATATACCATAAATCAATCAATCAATAAATACACTCACCTAAAGGATTATTAGGAACACCATACTAATACTGTGTTTGACCCCCTTTCGCCTTCAGAACTGCCTTAATTCTACGTGGCATTGATTCAACAAGGTGCTGAAAGCATTCTTTAGAAATGTTGGCCCATATTGATAGGATAGCATCTTGCAGTTGATGGAGATTTGTGGGATGCACATCCAGGGCACGAAGCTCCCGTTCCACCACATCCCAAAGATGCTCTATTGGGTTGAGATCTGGTGACTGTGGGGGCCATTTTAGTACAGTGAACTCATTGTCATGTTCAAGAAACCAGTTTGAAATGATTCGAGCTTTGTGACATGGTGCACTATCCTGCTGGAAGTAGCCATCAAAGGATGGGTACATGGTGGCCATAAAGGGATGGACATGGTCAGAAACAATGCTCAGGTAGGCCGTGGCATTTAAACGATGCCCAATTGGCACTAAGGGGCCTAAAGTGTGCCAAGAAAACATCCCCCACACCATTACACCACCACCACCAGCCTGCACAGTGGTAACAAGGCATGATGGATCCATGTTCTCATTCTGTTTACGCCAAATTCTGACTCTACCATCTGAATGTCTCAACAGAAATCGAGACTCATCAGACCAGGAAACATTTTTCCAGTCTTCAACTGTCCAATTTTGGTGAGCTCTTGCAAATTGTAGCGTCTTTTTCCTATTTGTAGTGGAGATGAGTGGTACCTGGTGGGGTCTTCTGCTGTTGTAGCCCATCCGCCTCAAGGTTGTGCATGTTGTGGCTTCACAAATGCTTTGCTGCATACCTCGGTTGTAACGAGTGGTTATTTCAGTCAAAGTTGCTCTTCTATCAGCTTGAATCAGTCGGCCCATTCTCCTCTGACCTCTAGCATCAACAAGGCATTTTCGCCCACAGGACTGCCGCATACTGGATGTTTTTCCCTTTTCACACCATTCTTTGTAAACCCTAGAAATGGTTGTGCGTGATCCCAGTAACTGAGCAGATTGTGAAATACTCAGACCGGCCCGTCTGGCACCAACAACCATGCCACACTCAAAATTGCTTAAATCACCTTTCTTTCCCATTCTGACATTCAGTTTGGAGTTCAGGAGATTGTCTTGACCAGGACCACACCCCTAAATGCATTGAAGCAACTGCCATGTGATTGGTTGATTAGATAATTGCATTAATGAGAAATTGAACAGGTGTTCCTAATAATCCTTTAGGTGAGTGTATAAAAAAAGAAATTAAGTGTGGCAGCAAAACACATGAAATCGTTTGACATCATCATCCCAATGCCAACTACTGGATTTGAAGCAGCGAATGTGTGCGCTACTATTGTTATCATTGCACGACACACTGCTTCAAAAACCTATTGTGTACGACACGGGGAGTTAACCAGGAGTTCATAGAAATAAGAACCTTATCTGAGCCCATTTTCATAGCTTTTTTAGAGTTGAGCTCCAGAAAACACAACAAAAACGTCCCGTTGACGTCAACTGTTCAGTAGAGAGAAGTACTGTGGCTACAATACAATTTTTGTCAATAGAACAAGCTGTAATCACATCGCAGACATAGTATCTCCATATAAAGATGATGTTTTAAACATGTTAGCAAACTTTCTTATTTACACATGCAGCCATTACTGAGAAACATTAGTATTCATGTGTCACGTTTCAGGCCATCCAACATTTGCAAGACCAATACTCAATCTCCTTTTAGCTCTGATTGGGTCTCCACCAACTGCTGAGGGAACCATCTGGCTCTGCAGCAGCTAAATGCTCTGACAGCTAGTTACTAATTTTGTCTCTCTGCCATTTGGTAGCGTTCAGAGGGTTTATCAGAACGTATTCTGCTGACTGGTGAAAATGCTGATGAGAATGGTGATAGTGAACCAAAATAGTAAAGTTGTGGGCCATAAAACAATGAGCTGAAAGATGTTAACTTAAAAAGCTGCAAACAGCAGACTTAAACTAAAGAGTTGGGTAAACAACACAGTAAATTAAAGCCATTGGCATGAAAATAGATTAGTGCAGCTTTAAGACACTTAAATTGATATATTTCAGCTCTTACTTTGACTGTGAGGTCAGCTCCAAGTGGGCCAGTGATTCTCAGGACCTCCTTATCTGAAAGTTTCTGAAAGTCCAAGGTGGTGTTTTCCAGGTGGTACTGCCCTGTTTTATCCAAGACCAGTTCATCTTTTACCCCTTCCAGTGTCTTACTTTCCACATCTAAAAGAAGAAACACAGTAGATAGCTAGAGCACAATGGACACATCAGTCTCAATATAGTGAGATCATCGTTTCTTGTCTACATTTTTCATCATTGTGGAAATTAAACAGCAAATAAAAGGAGAAAAAATATGTCCTGATATCATCCATCACAGACAGTTAGGTAAAGAACTGTCTGACTGGCAGTTGCATTTGCAAGCACAGAAACTCATTTTAGCAATGCCAGGAGGCTCATGTAGGTCTGCTAGCAGGCCAGCGCTGCAATAACCTTACTTCAACCCTGGCCTAACAGGGTCCTGTGTGATTCCAGCGTGGACATTTAAACAAAAACAATGTGGAAACACAAGAACGAGCAGTAACCAGCAGCAGTCATCATCTGCAGACAGATGGTTACAATTTAAGTGCCCTTGGCCAAAAACGAACAGGGGGAACTATTTAATGAAAAAATCTGTCCATTCAGAAAAGTTCTTTTGGCCCGGTTTAGGAAACAATCTGTAAACTAACCACGGAGCAAAGGCTAGGTACAGAGAAGAACATTTGTTATCGATTTGATCCAGTGGGGAGTTTGATGGCAGTACTTTGACATCAGTGATATTTGTTGGAAGCCTTACAGGTACATCTTCTCAGAGCCAGAGGAAACGGGGAAAATAAATACCTCTCCTGGTTATTCCGCTCCAAGCTACTTTTAAAACCAGTCAAAATTTTAGATATTTTGGAAAAGGGAATAAAAGGTTAATTATTTGGGTGAGACATTCATGAGAAAGGTCAAGCAAGTATAACATGTAGTTATATGTTTTTTTGCATAGCAGGGCATTAAAACACAACATGAGCTGCACTAAAACTCACACAGCCCATGCAGAACACGTGTTTTTAATGTGCAGGTATTTGGCAATAAAAAAAAAACACTGCCAAATATGAATATCATGCTTAACTGTTTTGATGGAAGGGCACCCTGGACCTACCAGGACTTACACAAGTGATCCGGGCCTTTCAGGACTAGACGTACATGACGACTCTTATAGGGGATGACAACAATTGTGTCCTCAGCTTGAGTGAGAGAGACAGACAGACAGAGGGAGAAACATAACATGAAGTATGCAATAAACACAGAATGCAATAAAATCAATGTAATTACAACAGGAAAATGCAATCAGAACACAGAATTTGAATTTAAAGACAGACTAATGACTAACAAAACACAAATGTCAAAATCAAACCAGCAGAGTTCGAGATAGCAGGAATTTTAGTCAGCAAAATATAGTTAAGCTTGACCTATAATCACTGATTCCTTCACTTTCCATAATGTACAACATAATTCATTAAGACCCACCATGCCTGGTAAACGCCCACCTCGTTTAAACTTTATGCTTCCAGTTTGTAATGCAGCATTTACATTTTAATTGTGTCTCTCTGATGATGTATGAAAATCACCCTGATGATATCACTATGACATTGTCAGGGGTTATTGTCTCCAACTTGACAAAGCTCCTCCAGAAACGCAGAAGACATTAACACAACTGTTTTCTCAGGCTGAGAAGTACGCTTGATGAACTATGTGTAATGTGTACAAATGGTGGAGCACCTCTTCAGTTGAAGTTATAAGTAAACAAACACAAAGTAAAGATTCTTTACTTTTTCCTGAAGCATGCTGGGATTTGTAGTGTCCTCGCACCAGTCTGCAGGAGGAGCCATCTCCATTGCAGACACCGCAGTTGTCCTCCTTTACTGTGCTCCCCAACTCATGATCGCAACCTACAATCTGTATTGCAGAGAGAAAGGTAAACAACAAAAACATTACCCAAAGACATCAGCTTTAAATGAAATTGTGTTCTGCAAAAAAAAAAAAACACAGAAAAAAGAAACAGCCCCAGTAAAAGTACACTTGTTGGTTACATCAGACCGTTAAAATGAATTTCATTAAAGAATATGTCTTCCTTCACACCATGTACATGTTATAATGAAATGATCCAAACAATCCTCTGGTTTCTTCCATTTTCATACCAGATCTATTGTTTGTATTTCTAAGATAGCGTAAAACATTTCCTTTGAGTTGATCATGGGTTTTTCCAAAAATGTTCCCCCCTGTTTTCTATTACACATTATCTGCAACTATCCGTAGTTGATTGATGGAGTTTTTCGCAATTTTTGTCGGTAAGACAAAACCAAAACCACAGTGTGATTCTAAGCCTGGTAAGAGAGTGTATTAAAATCCTTGTGTGTCTCTGCACTTACACAATGTCTTGGGACGTAATTTCATTCAACCGGGAAAAAATGCATTGTAAACTATTTCCTGGACTGTCAGTCAAAAGCCCAATCTCAAATATTATTCTCATTGGGTATTCATTTATAAAGCAGATGGCATGATAGTATTGTAAGTACTATACTGTAATACACAGTGGGTTGTGTGTAAAGGTTTTCTTGGATGCAATCACATTTTGGCTCTTGCATCCATATGAACTGTAATGCAACAGATTGTGAACACAATATTATGCGTCTACAAGTCTATATTTAGTTTCTTGTGATTTATACAATAGATAAATTATAAGAAATAAATATAAACTCCTCAGTGGAAGAAAAAAAAACAATAAAGCACTCCGATTCTTTCTCCTACCTGGCAGACTCCACTGATACACATGTCCAAGGACTCGGTGTAACAGCGGGTCCCATCCAGCACCTTTGGTGCCAGCTCCACCACAAGGCCCAAGCCCTTGGCTTTGCACTTGAGAGTGCAGGGGTTTTCCGGGTCATTGTACACAGGCAGCCACTCATGGTACTGACCCTGGTAATGCACGTCTGCATGAGCGGAACACTGCTGGGCACGGAAATCACCAGCATCTGGAGGGCAGTCCTGAGGGGAAAACAAAAAAAATGAGCTAACTATGATAATTAACACAAAGCATATCACTGTATTAGAAATGTGTGTGTGTGGGAAGATGAGAGTTCGCACAAGTCTCGGTGGAAGGATTGTTGAAACTGTGATTGCTGAATGTAGTGACCATCATATTAAATTAAAGCAGAAGTAGTTTGACGTCTCCCTCCGCACAACTTGCCCCTTTCTCTCAAACAACAGGATCGTAGATCACCAAATCACGCCCCTTAACCATAAACCCTGGTAATATTTTCACAGTTCCACCACACTGAATTCCCAATCAGTGTTTGCTATTTCAGTTTATTTCAATAAAAACCACTACAAGGCTCGACTGACATCCATTACATAAAGATGACTTTGCTGAACTTACCACATTACTGCATGTGCGATATTTGATATTCTGCCCTTCGCAGGTCCTGCAGAAGACAAAATGAACATGTGGGTGAACTTGCTTTGGGGGTGAGTGATAAAAAAACCACAACGCACACCAATCATCTTCGCCTGAGGCAGCTGGTATTTCAACCATTGACTCTTTGCGTTTTTTGAATTGCTGAGCAGTGATCGGAATCCTACAGTGATGATGTGGCAACCCACAAACATGGGGTCTGTGGTGTGTTTGTGAACAGGCTTCTTCACACAATGTGACTATGTAATGAATAAAAGGGCGTATGTTTGGTTTCAGAATTGGGGCATACAATGAGGCAAAAAAGTGATTGCTATTCTGCATTTCTATCAACCTAGCAAATACATTATGATAAAATTCATGAAATCCTAATTTCCATAAGAAGGATGGTATAACAAGCACTTAGTCACAGCAGTGCTTTGAGTTAACATTATCATGCTAACATGCTAACACAAAAAAACTAAACAAATCAGAACAATTTTATCTGGATAAAACAGGACAGTTAAAAGTTTCACAAATTCAAGATAACCTGTGGTAAAAAGTTGGGAAATAGGAGAGCAGACACAGTAGTGCCCTCCGAGCTGTGTCTGCTGAACAGATTGGAGCAGTTTGGATCCCGACTCTCTGCATGAAGGTCTGCAATGTCTTTGCCCAAATTATGGAGCCAACCACTTACTGAAAATTAGGATTCCTTTGTGCTTTGATGCGGAGTGATGATAAACCATTGATGGTGACTATGATAGGCCAATTATCCAAGACCCCAGTGGAAACTAATCAAAGGATATTCTTTTGAGTTTGGGAACTTAAGAGAAATTCCACTGTCATCGGCCGTTAGCTAATCTGGAATCATGATTGGAGGCAACATAGCAGAGTTCGGACTCACGGATAAACGAGGGTTACAGGATGTTTATAATATTATTCCAGAGAGCGGAGGGAGTAGCTGTGAAGTGTGTGGCATGGTAAGAACATTAGGCCCTATGACGAATCCAGACAGCCCCCTCTGCCAAGCCAAATAGCAGGCCATGGGGCTTGAACCCAAACAAAAGACTTTCAAAGACTAAGAGTTGAGAGGCAGGTAGCAAAGATCTGGATCAGTGGGACGAGTAATATATAAACTAGACTTTAAAAAAAAAAGAAAAAAAAAGAGGCAAAGTAAAATGAATTTCCCTTTTCATTTCCTCTTGACTTTGGAAGCTACAAAGTGGAGGCAAAGCAGAAGTAGGGTCCGGACTGGGGATTCATCATGGCGTCATCGTAGGTTACGAGAAAGTGGTTAAAATCTCACAATTCCTGGAGCACATAGGACATAACTCACAGACTTTGACCCTGCTCTTTTCTGCCAAATATACAGAAAAGACACAACTATAGAGAGTTTGCTCATCAGTTAAATACACATACAAGACTGCATATAGAGTAAAACTAGCATGCCAATAACCAGACAAGAATGAACAAAAATCTATTGTAACCATGAAAAATTCACAGTAATAACATCTTACAATATTGGATATGCAGGGAAATTTGTCTGGCTCATAATGCCCATATATATGTCATCAACTCTTCTCGCTAAATTGAAAGTAATTGCAACCAGTGCTCCATTACCTTTCCCATAATATTGATACACTTGAGGCGAGTGGGCACATGAACATGAGTTTGTAAAGCCTAAAATATGCTCTTGCTGTGAGTTCTGCTATTGATCAGTTTAGGGAAAGAGCAGTTAGGCAATCTGAGAAGGGTAACATGAAGTTGAGAAAGATGCAGCGACAGCAGAAAAAGGGACTACTTGAGTGAGACGTCTCAGGAACTCCCCGACCAATATTTTGAAATGTCTCAACAGCTATTAGATGGATTGCCATGAAATGTGGTACATACATTCATGTCCCCCCAAGATAAAATGAAATAACTTTGAATATCCCTTAATTTTTTTTCCCCCTATCATCTAATGAAAATGTTAATATGCATTGGTAATACATTGGTTTGGTGTGGGATTAAATACTAGCAAAACTTATGATATTCCCATGATACTTCACCTGTGCTCTGTGCTAATTAGCAGATCTTAGCATGCTAACATGCTAAACTAAGGGGTTGAACACGATGAACACTATTCATGCATAAGCATGTTGGCATTATTTAGTTCAGAGTACCACCATGCCTAATTACAGACACTAGTTGCTAGCATGACTATGTAGACTGTGGTGGCAGTGGCTCAGGACGTAGAGCAGGTTGTCCACTGATCACGAGGTTATTGATTTGATCCCCACCTCCTCCTGTCCACATGTCAGTGTCCTGGGTTAAGACAGCGACCCCCAAATTGACAGCACGCTGCCATTTGTCAATTGTAGCCATTTACCATTCAGATTCTTGGTTTTGTTAGATTTTAGGTCCTCTGGAACTTAGAAACTAAGTTCCAGAGGACCTCTTTGGGGCTAAGCAAGGACTTAGATTTTCTTTATGTCTTCCTTCTTGAATGTTTTTATTCTTCCTTTTCTGCCTCTTATGATCGGATTTCTTGATTTAAAATTCTAAATGCCACACCTTGCCACACAGAGGGTGGTCCCCTATATTGTAAAGTAAGAGACATAATGGAGGTGCCAGGCCCAAATTAATTTAGAGCAAGTTAATTAGTCATTGCTACCAAAGGCATGCCAAAATGCAATGAGTTAATGTCACTGCCTGTAATTTCTGCAAATCAGTGACCCAGTGAATATTAAAATCATCCTTTTCAGCTATGAGAAGTTCAGCTTACTTTACAGTTCACCAAGACCATGCTGCTGTTGTGATGTTAGCTATAGTAGCAGGAGAGTATATCTGTCTGGGACTGTCTCCTGATCTCTGCATGTTAGCTTCGCAGCAGGAACTGTAGCGACAGTTTGCTCACCCACAACTTGGCTAACGTTGGATTTCTCTAGAATCGCATGCCGCTTCCCAGAACTGCTCATCTGTTGGTGAAAGGTTATCAATGGGATACATTATTTTTATTTAAGTCAAAATAATCTTGAGACTAGCCTCTTTTTATAAAAAGACTAATATCCAAAGTGTTTGCCAACCACGAGCCTCATAAATACAGCGCTTTCTCTTGCCATGACACCTAATCCATATGTCCACACTTGCTTCAAACCAGCTATGCTTTTGTTAATAATGGAGATTATGATCAAGTGAAGTGTGTTGGGCATTTGGGACTAATAAAGGCCAGGCGATCTGTGTTTAGCCTGTACTTTTCATGTGCCTTTTTAGGAGGTTTTCTAACTCTTGTGCGTTTCTGCATAAGCAGTAGGTCCTACGTGTGTGTGTGTGTGTGTGTATGTGTGTGCGTGTTTGCGTGCTGAAAGGTCAAAAAGTTGGAGTGGTATTGGTTTGGAGGGTGCTGCAGGCCCGTTTCCAGTCTCTCTTTCCAAAGAGTCACACACACATAAGGGGCCTTGTGCTGTGGTTTTTAATGACGCCGTTTGATCTGCCACCCAGTTCCAGGCTACTGCTGCCTCATTCCCACGCAACAGCAGAATGAGGTGGGATGAGGTGGGACGGAGGGTCTTACCCATATGCTCAAGAACCCCATACATTACTGCTACCGCCAAAGGACACACAAGTTTGTAACCATACCCGCTTGCACTTATATGAGCATGTACGTCTACACATAGCCTACATCCCACATAGAGCTCAAACCCCAAACACCTCTTAACACGTCAATTGCTTTTACAGCCAGTAGCATTCTGAGGTTTGCCTGACCAAAAAAGTCTGGGCAAGCAGAGAGAAATGGCTGCAGCTGATATCATGAAAATGAACTCCCCAAAAAGCTATTGACCTCAATGTTAACAGTGCAGAACATGGAGGTTCTGACAGGATTATACTTCTTATCTTGGCTTCCCAGTACCAGTGCAGACAGATTCATGGTTATGGCACGCTGGAAGCACCTTATAGTACATCGGGGTTGTGACCTCAGGCATGATCTCTCCTGTTTTGTCATGTGTCTTTGGACAGTTGCTTTGTTTTATGATCTCATTGGCTGCTCCTGTCACTGCTGGAGCTCCCTCTGAAGACCCCAACAGTGAAACAGAGGTGACTTTGGCAGCACTGGCTACCTTTAGTGAGAGAGCAATTCACTTGGGGAACTGTAAAATAGAGGAATGCAGTGAAGTCACCCTGCAGCGATTTCCCAGTCTATAAATGTGACAACGTTTCTATGGAAAACATACCCTCTCACTCCTTCTGTCCCCCCCCCCTTGTTCCTCAAACCCATTTGTAATTTACCACTTTTGCCCAGAACACTTGGCCTCACACTTTAATCTTGAATCCCACTGTGTCAGCCTGAACCTTAACCAACCAGGTGACTCCGGCACGAGGATGAAAGGAACAAGAGGTCCATTTGGTCTCAATACTTAAGCCGAGATGATGAGCAGTGGGAATCCGACTAATGTGGGTTCATTGCCTGCAGAGCCCAACTTCTATCACACGAAAGAGTTATTAAAAGTGACATGTACTTTGGCAGGGGACATTGATTGTTATGCTCTGATTTGTGAAGATACATGTCTGGGCCACTTCTGAAAATCAGATCCCAATTGTCACTGATGACTTCAAGATTTAGGCTCATATGGCCGTCTAGACAGTTTTAGGAGGTGGATGGGCAAGTGATCTCAGTGAACCCCTCAGGGCTATTTAACAGTCACAGTCATATGTATTTTGAGCACTCCCATTATAGCTCAAGGGAATGGAGCGACTGGTGAGATTTACTCACACTATTAGGGACGCTGTCTGGATTTATTTGGCAGAACGGCCATGAGGAACAGAAAAAGACCCCCCTCTTCAATCCCTCTCTTGAATCTTAAAGCCATAATATGGCATTTTAATGGAAACCAGTTGAACCCCAGTCAGGACATTGCTATTTTAAAAAGAGGAGATTACCTCGGATAGTGTTTGAACACACATTTACAAATTGTCCATGTGATGTTTCCATTTATCCGAAGGTCAACGAGGTTCTAACTTGAAATTATATCTATTCATTTTACTTTACATCCTCCTCTGCTGTGATATAAGCATCTCTTAAGACAGAGATTTATCACAGTTTCATTTTGCGAGTACTGTAGCCTACCCATAAATATCAATTTATGTCCTTGATTCTAATACAATATTGTTTCTTTACAATTATCTCAAAGTTGTATTTTTTCCTTGAGAAAGGCATTGTCTTTAGAAAGTTTACCAGGAAAAGTTAATCACTATCTACTTCAGGTGTAGTATCAGTTATTATACTGCACGTGATAAGGGTCAAGACAACTCTAAAAAAAGGCAAAAGGGATGCATGCAAAAAACATTATCATCACTCAAAGTGTTGCCCACTACATTGTCACACATGCTTTGTAGAGTGTGCATCAGGCTTTGAGGTGAGAAGTGGGGCCTTACTTGGAACTAAGGCATCGTCTGAGGGAGTATGAGGCGCCTCCTCCACAGGTACGGGAACATTCACTCCATGAGCCCCAGGCATCCCACAGAGTGTCTCTGTCCTCTTCTGATCGGGCCGTCCGAGAATTCTACACACACACCAGAAAAGAAGTGAAGAGTTCATACATTCATACCAATGCTATATTGTCTTAATTTATTTCTGCCAAAAGCCAACTAAACATTTAACACGATACAATTAAGTTATGTTCTGATCTCCCTTTTGCAAAGGAAGCTACCTGTATGCGTATTCCTCAGCCACATGAGTTGTGGAATCCGACATTTAAGCAGATTCTCTTGCAGAGCACACAAAAAAAAAAATCACCAGTACTACTAGTTGAATGGCTGAACTAGAGCTGCTGTAAACGAAACAGAAGTATATATGTGACAAGATGTAAAAGACTGCAAGGGGAAATAATCAAAAGCTCTGGACATTAGCCCCTTTGCATATTTCAAATGTGTGGGTCATCCTTTAGATTATGAAATGTTAGTCCTTATGTGCCTCTCTGTTAATTGCATCATGCTGTATTTGGCAGCAGAGGTAGGGATATGACGACAGGATCCAAAATCAATATCATGAGATGATGAATTTTACAACTGCAAGGACAATGTGCATCTCAGATGTAGAGTAACAGTCAAAAAGTAAAGATCTTCTCCACCACTCTATCTTAGATCCCCTCATTGGCGTTCAGGGTCTTTTGTATTTTCAGACTAGATTTGACTGGACTGTCCCACCTTGCTCTAAAGAAGCTATGTATTTGTAAGGCTGGCACTGTCCTCTGATGTGGGATCACATACTGCTTCATATGAGTTATGCTTATTTCTCTTGGCAGCCTAGCTCTTCTCAATGCCCTTTGCAGAACTGACTGAATGACAGAGAGCTACGTTGCCTGAATACCAGGAACAGATGAGAGAGAGTGAAAAGAAAATAGTTTGCTTTTGCTATCTAGAAGAAGGACAGTTTAGATTGGTAGGTAGGTATTCTACTCAAAAGCTGCCATTGAGACTGAGGCAGAGAGAAAAAAACGGTTCAATACCTGTTGAATGGATGAAAACCTGGATAATGGAAAGCTCTCAAGAGACTCTGAATCATCAGTCTCCTATGGCAACAGGAATGTGGTTTACAAGACTCAAGGTGCAAACACACAATAAAATAATCTGCCATTCAAGAGAGGGTTTAAGGCCATGAACAGGAATAGATGGATATAAGAGAAAAATATTTATTAATTAATTATTTTCAACAATAACCTGAACTCTTATGCAGTCTTTCTGGTGTTGGTGAACCATGAAAGAATAATGGAAGATTGCAGAAATGCAGCTTTTGTGCACTTAAGACAGGCTCCCACTACGGGATCTTCACACCACAGGGACTTAAAATCACAAATCCTGCAGATTAGGAGTGAAATGCGAGGCACAACATGCCCGCTTACACAGAGCACACCAAATAAAGGAGGGACTATGAGAACTTTATGTGCAACACCTGCTCTGAGCTGACAAATAGTTTACAGTGAAATGTCCAGCCTTAAATTTGACATACACGGCCTTGAGATTTTAGAGGAAAAACTCTGTATACGCCAAGTTATTTTGACCTCTTTGGCCCCGTTTCCTAACAGCATGGCATTGTGCTTTGTCTACAAAGATGAATGGATCTTGTAGGGGAAAGCAGATATAAGGTAATAACACTGCCCTGATTATTTTCTTTGGGTCACGGTAGCAAAAACACCCATGCTGTAAGCTGCAGAGCGCGGTGGTGGGTTCACGTTATTAAAAGTGCGTGGGGACCGATATAAATGGCTGTCAGTGCTGATGACGCCTGAGGAACAGCAGAAGGGAACGGCAAGACCTAAACATGCAGCCAACAGAGCATGCAGCCAAACACATCGGCAACGGCGCTACTTTCTGCACGGGCCAACTATTTCGATGTTTGGATCCACGGTAAATAAACACAGGCTGTGCTCTGGGCAGCCGGTTAGCACACCACCTTAATTCTCCTTTGAAAAGCAATCAGTGAATTTTGCAGTCAATTACGGCTGGGAGCTGTGTGTTGCAAAGCCAAGAGAGCCAGAGGCATAACAAGACTGGTGAAGAAAGAGGAGGGGAAGGAGATGAAGGGATGGAGATGAGGAGGTTGTTTGGCTGACTGTGCTGCTATTGTTCTGAATGAAGGAGGAGGAACACAAGGCTCCGCTAGTCGGATGGCCGTCCTGCTGGGATTTGGATCCAATAATCAAAAGGCTCGGATATCAACTTGGAGCCTTCCTAACCCTCCATCACTACACCTCCCGACTTTCCTGATCCCTCCAGGGTTTTGTCTGCACCATTTACACAACAAAGCATGTACATTTTAGGCATATTTGTTCTCTGGCTCTTTCACTATGAGAAAAACAGAGCAAGCACATGACCACAAGGACCTCTTGGCTGTCACCCATCTCATGTTTTCACATCAAGTGGAGAAGTGGAAATGGGTATATGATAAAAGACCAGTAATCTCCACATTATATGTTATTCTGATGGACAGATTCTATTTAAGTCACCTGTCAGCAGCCGAGACTAAGGACATTTTCCTTGAAGATGGAAAACTCCTCGACAGGGGAAAGAAACCCGACTCTGGTGCCTTTTTCAGACTGTGTCAATATACATACGATGGCCTTTTCAGTCGGCAAGACATACGATAGTTGCACATCTGCTGAATCCCTTGTCGTCTGCTCTGCACTGCACGGCACTGCACAGCACTCAACGTCATGACACAAGCGAGGCAGTCACTGTAATGTAAAAGGGAGTCCTAACCTCGGGCAAAATAGCTTGCTGACCTGTGCATGCATGACAAGTCTACTTTTGTGACTTAGATCCATAACGCAGAGGAAGCATGGTGACTCTTCAGTGGAAGCAAACAAGACAAGTCAGGTCGCACTGACTGCCTTGTTAAAGCTACTGTTGAAAGGACTCCAGGATCTGACGAATGCATTTCCACTGCAGTAAGTCACATAATAATACAACACATGCACACACACTTCTAAACAGTAAAGCAATCTATTAGCACACATGTTTTCTGAATGCATTACGTGGTGTGACAAGTATTTTAAGGGGATTACATTTTTCCAGGATAAAAATTGAGGGAGGGAAAAAGTAAACATTACAGTACCAGGATGAGAAGAGCTGTCACCAGTAGCTTGCAAGATAAAAAACCTTGCTCCATGCCTTTTCAAAGTGTGTGAGTCAATCACTCCAGTTCTGTGTGTTTGCTTGTGTGAGAGCCCGGTGTGTGACGCCCTCCTCCTCTGGGTCACTCTGTGTGTCCCGTCTGCCTGCCGTCTCCTCTCTGACTTGCTCCCGTCCTTCCTCAGGAGTAACTTGGGGAAGGGCAGCAAGGAAGGAAGAGAGGGAGGGAGGAGAACTGGGAGTGCGTGTGCATGTGTGCGGTACTTGAATGTGGGGGGGAGTAATCGGAGGGGGGGGGGATCCGAGCCCCACAAATCCTTCAGGTCTGGCACACTGACCAATCAATAAATGGGCCTCAGTCAAGCGTGCTAGTTCAAACAAGGAGCTGGGCCAGCAGCAGCCTCACAACTTCACACGTTTGTGTGTGAGACAGCCATAGAGTAGGAATAATGGCAGACATACAACAATTGTAAACCAATTTTCTTCCCCCTTTGATTCTTTCCATTTCTCCCCCTGATATCTCATATTTCTGTCTCTTATATTCCTCTGCTTTTCCTCCCTGCATGCCTTGCTCATGCCACCATTTCTCATGAACAGCTTTTCTCTGTCTACAGCCAGCACTCTGTTTTGGAAATGTCAAAATATCTCAAGTCATACGGTGCAAGCTAATCTGCTAGCGTGTTTACTGCCGGCTGACCGCTCTTGAATGTGGCTTTGACAGTGTTGTTATATGAATATCTTGAAAGAAAAAAAACGTACATAGTTAGCACAGTTAATGCTAACTCCAAACATACAAAACATACATCTCAATAAAACTGTAACATTAGGGAGCACATGACTTCATGTCCAGCTCAGGAGTTATATGTGAGACCCCCATGGAAATCAGATGACATAGTCTGGTCACTGAAGCTATCAAGATAGACTTCTCAGCCATTGTGACTTTTTTCTCCTATTTCTTTATGAGCTAAAGGTCTACTTCAATAGGGCCTTTCATAACATCTGGCAGTTTAAGCCAGTGAACATTTGCACTGTGGAGGTGGGGAACAAGCCAGGTGTCCCCTGGAGGGACAATTCCTCTGGTTATAGAGAAAAACAACCAGTAAGATGGACAGCTGTTGGCTCTGAGGGAATATACTATACACTGAGTAACTTTCCAGTTTTAACATTTGCAATGGCAAGACGCAAAAAAACAAAAGCAGAAACAGAAAGTTAAAAAAGAAATAGAGCAGTTAATGCCAACCCACTGGTGCCCCTTGATGTGCAGGCTATCATTCAGGCATTTCGACCCCGACGTTCCAAAGACAATAAAAACTCTGTGCCCTTCAAATCAAGACTTCAAATCCCCCCCCAATCAAACACCAAATCAAAAACCACATAATTGCTATCAATTAAGGCTGCGAGGAATGTGCTGTACTCTGAGCAAATAGTCAGCAACCTTAATCACAACATTGGAGCGGATGTCTCGAGACTTAACCAGCACACACACACACACACACACACACACTTATTATACTTGAGTTATACACAGCAAACCAGTTTTGAAGTCTTAACTTGCTGTTGACAGTATGGGACTTGGCTTGTTTGGCTTGGTGGTGGGGAATGTCTGTACATTCTCTGAACTGGGAAATTATCTGAAACGCACATCCACATGCACACACACTCAACTATCCACTTAACATCGGTGTATTCTGCAGTGCCAGCGGGGAGGGATGTGGACGTGCACGCTCTCACAGGCCTATGCAGAAATCATACCCCCTTGCACCCTTAATCCATAACCTTCTGATATTTGCTTTCAGAAGAAATCCTTCTCATATTTGCAAATGTCTGACTACAGAAAATAAACTGTGGCATCGACGATGTGCCCAGAGTTTAAAACTAAACACCCGAGGAGGAAATGAATGTGTTTGACTGACACTCACTTGGAGCCAGTTCT